CTTTAACATTTAGTTATGTACTCTATTACTACTACTACTTATTAATAATAAGCTTTAGTAGTTGTAAACCTTAAGTAATACTTTTAAATTTAAGTTATAATTAATGCTTATAAAGGTAAAGATTTTAAAGCATATAGATAGCTTACTAACATCTATAGTAAAGGCCTTTAAAAAAGTTTTAAAGGGGCTAGTAATTATTACGCACAAGCTAGTGTTAGTGTAAAAAAAGATTATAAAGCTTTAAGCAGTAAATAAAGCTACTACGCAATGTAAATTACATAAAAGAAAGTAAATTTAGGCAGAAAAGACTTTAATAGTTAAGGATAGAGCTTATCTAACTACTTTAAAAGAGTTTAAAGCGCGTAGTAATAAGAAGAAGCTAAAGACGCAAGTGCGCGCTAAAGAAGGTAAGCTAAGTTAAAAGTAATATAGGCAGTGTAATTAGACTAGGCATAACTTATGTATGTGTAAGAAAGTAGCAGAAGTAGACTTTAAATAATATCTTATGTTATATTGCTTTATATAGGGCTAAAGTAGGCTGTTTTGCGCCAGAATAGGGTGGTTTTAGTGGGGGCTTAGCAAAAGTAGCCGGCCAACCCGTGTGGCCGGCCAACCCGTTAGGTACGTTACTCTTCTTATACTAATGTATTTCTAACAACACTACTTAGACGCGCTAAAAGAATAGTAGATACAGTTTACATTTTAAGCTTTTAAATAAAATGTAATACTTTTAAATTAACATGCTGTAGCTATGTGTAGAGTCTTTTAAAAGATAATAAATAACTAACATACTAAATAACCTTTACAAGCTAATTTTATAGTTAACTTATAAAAGCTAGATAATAGTAACAAGTAGGTAATTATTACGTACTACTTAAGCTACATGCATAAGGATTTTCCTCTTAGCTAGCAGCTATAGCAGATATAGCTAATTCTTTACACGCTAAGCATAATCTAGGCGTAGGCTTCTGCTAAAGCCTAACTTATAAGAGTATACTCTATGTTACTTAGTTTTATTAGCAAGCTCGCTCTGCTTAATATATTTAAGTTTGTAGAATAAAAAATTAAGTAGAATCTCCTCTTTTAAACACGCTAGTTAGTTATAATTTCTTTAGATAAACTCTAGTAACACTATTTTTTTATTTCTTTAACGTACCTAACGGGTTGGCCGGCCACACAGGTCGGCCGGCCACTTTTGCTAAGCCCCCACTAAACTCTACCTATCTACATAATGCCTTAACAACAACACTAGATTAAATCTTCTAAAGAACGTTAGATACAGCTTGCTCTTTAGGCTTTTAAATAAGACTTAAAACTCTTCTTACAACGCGCTGTAGCTATCTATAATGTCTCTTACACAACACTAAGCAATTAACGCGCTAGACAGCCTTTACAAGCAGAATGCTAGCCTAAATTAAGGAATCTAACTAAGCTTAAGAAGAAGGTAGTTGTTAAGTACATACTTAAGCTTATTACACGCAGATTTCCCCCTAGGCTTGTAGCTGTAGCTAATATAGCTAATTCCTTGCCTGTAGAGCGCAATCTAGGCCAGGTTAGCTTAAACTAGACTAGTATGTAAGTTAAGCACTGCCTTAAGTTTATAATAAAGTTTAATTATAAGTATAATTATAAGAGAGCGCTTTACAAGGATCTAGAGGTTATCTAGAGCTAGTTTTGCCTAGTAGCTAACATAAAAGCTAAGTACAGTATCTAGGATAAAGACAGGTATAACTTTAACAAGTTAGGCTTTATAATAGGCTAGATATTAACTAGAGTAGTTGTTATAGCTTTAAAAAGACAAGAATGGCTAAAGGTAATATAGTAAAGTAATAAAAAGTAGATAACAGTTGTCTAGAGCATTAATGTAATAAAGCAGGCTATAAGATTATAAAGCTTTAGGCAGTAAATAAAGCTGCTACACAACATAGATTGCATAAAAGAAAGCAAATTTAGGCAAAAAAGACCTTAATAGTTAAGAATAGAGCTTGTCTAACTGCTTTAAAGGAGTTTAAAGCGCGTAGTAATAAGAAGAAGCTAAAGACACAGGTGCGCGCTAAAGGAGGTAAGCTAAGTTAAAGGCAATACAGGCAGTGTAATTAGACTAGGTATAACTTACATATATGTAAGCAAGTAGCAGAAGTAGACTCTAAATAATATCTTGTGTTGTATTACTTTATATAGGGCTAAAGTAGGCTGTTTTGCGAGAGAATAGAGTGGTTTTAGTAGGGGCTTAGCAAAAGTGGCCGGCCAACCTGTTAGGTACGTTATATATTTTTTACATTCTTTTTTAAAAAAAAATAATGTATACTTAATATAAGTACACTTTTATATTAATTTGCACGTAGTTTGCTCTAGCATGTATTGTGTAAAACATGTTTAAATTATAGTTAGTTGCGTCTGTTCCACCTCTCTAACTACATTAATGTGTTAGGGATTAGCATTAGCTACATTAGTGTGTTAGGGATTAGCGTCAGCTACATTAGTGTGTTAGGGATTAGCATCAGCTATATTAGTGTGTTAGAGATTAGCATCAGCTACGCTTAGTTGCAGGCTGTAATTAGTTGCGTGCTGTAGTTAAATGTTGTTGTTATGCATCTATTACCTGTCTAATACTACTTTGCTAAGCATTATGCTGCAACTATTATTTAACCTAAACAACCTACCTTAATGCGCTAACTATTACTCTAAGTAAGCTTTACTTTTATAGATTATTTATAAACTTTTGTAGTATTTTACTAGCTTTTTTTAACCTTTTTTTAAGCTTTAAATACCTTCTAGATAGCTTAATAAGATTAAATAAAAAAATTGTAACGTACCTAACAGGTTGGCCGGCCACACGGGTTGGCCGGCCACTTTTGCTAAGCCCCCACTAAACTCTACCTATCTACATAATGCCTTAACAACAACACTAGATTAAATCTTCTAAAGAACATTAGATACAGCTTGCTCTTTAGGCTTTTAAATAAGACTTAAAACTCTCCTTATAACGCGCTGCAGCTATCTATAATGTCTCTTACACAACACTAAGCAATTAACGCGCTAGACAGCCTTCACAAGCAGAATGCTAGCCTAAATTAAGGAATCTAACTAAGCTTAAACAAGAGGTAGTTGTTAAGTACATACTTAAGCTTATTACGCGCAGATTTCCCCCTAGGCTTGCAGCTGTAGCTAATATAGCTAATTCCTTGCCTGCAGAGCGTAATCTAGGCTAGGTTAGCTTAAACTAGACTAGTATGTGGGTTAAGCACTGCCCTAAGTTTATAATAAAGTTTAATTATAAGTATAATTATAAGAGAGTGCTTTATAAAGATCTAGAGGTTATCTAGGGCTAGTTTTACCTAGTAGCTAACATAAAAGCTAAGTACAGTATCTAGGATAAAAACAGGTATAACTTTAACAAGTTAGGCTTTATAATAGGCTAGATATTAACTAGAGCAGTTATTACAGCTTTAGAGAGATAAAGACAGCTAAAGGTAATATAGTAAAGTAATAAAAAGTAGATAACAGTTATCTAGGGCATTAACATAATAAGGTAGGCTATAAGATTATAAAGCTTTAAGCAGTAAATAAAGCTGCTACATAACATAGATTGCATAAAAAAAAGTAAATTTAGGCAGAAGAGACCTTAATAGTTAAGGATAGAGCTTGTCTAACTGCTTTAAAGAAGTTTAGAGCGCGTAGTAATAAGAAGAAGCTAAAAACGCAGGTGCGCGCTAAAGGAGGTAAGCTAAGTTAAAGGCAATACAGGCAGTGCAATTAAACTAGGCATAACTTACATATATGTAAGCAAGTAGCAGAAGTAGACTCTAAATAATATCTTATGTTATATTACTTTATACAGGGCTAAAGTGGGCTATTTTGCGAGAGAATAGGGTGGTTTTAGTGGGGGCTTAGCAAAAGTGGCCGGCCAACCTGTGTGGCCGGCCAACCCGTTAGGTACGTTACTTATTTTTTACCTTAGTTTTTTTTATACTAGTGTTAACTTTAGTTAAGTGTTACTAAAAGCAGCTATTTTAGCTAGCTTCTTAAGTAGTTTTAAAGCGCAAGTTGCATCTAATTCTTCTCTAGTGTTTTATGTTAATACTAGTACATAGAAAGGTTGCTCTTAAGTAGTATACTAGCTTATATAAGCAATTTAAATGTAAAGATAAGATAGTAAGTAGTATAAATAGCACTAAGAGCAAGGTTTTAGATGTAAGGCCGAGATAGTGCTTACGTGCAACAGGTATATACTATTCTATACGCAAGATCAACTGTTAGTTGATTATTCGCTCCTTTCTAGTTGTATTAGCGCAGTGGTACAGAGCTCTGTCCTTCTATTAGAGAAATAAAAGTGTATTGTAACAGAGACAAATTGCTGCTAAGCCTCACTTGTTAGGATTCATGTCTATATACAAAGCACAGGTCATGTGACCTCTAAACAGGTTAGGTGAGGCTATACTAGCCTGTTCTAGGACATCTAGCCTTACAGTTACACAGCACCGCCAGGTAGACTAATCTACTTAGTACTCTTCTTAGTATTAAAGCGCTCTAACACTCTTTTACCTATTATCTACTAAGAGCACTAAAGCATACAGTGACCCTCCTATCCTTGTCTAACCACCTTCTGCACAGAATGCCCCGCCTGATCACTAGAACGATCCTGCTACCTAGTCGAGGTTAGATAAGTATTAGACCATACTTCCTCTTCTCCATATCTCTCCCTCCCCCTTGACCACAGTCACCGCAACTAGTATTAGAGCAATCCTACTGTTAGATGAGGTCTAACTTAACAACTACTACTTAAAGACAGGGCTAAGCACGCGCTTTAATACTTTAAGCAAACCATATAACATGAATCTAAGGGGCCGCCTTACCTAAAATCTTGTTTCTATAGTAAATTATGTTATTCTAGAGTTTTTAGAAGCTTTGTAAACGCCGACTATCTTAGAGTTTTGTGTTCCTGCAGGAGTGCATAGAAGAATAATCAAATGTAACTACACTTACTTTAAACTAGGAATTTATGTATCATACTCTGTGTTACTGTGCAGTGCATCTAAGATCTCAGCAATACTGCGATACTTGTTGCTTGTACGCCCGAAAACTGCTTCAACACCAATGAGAGCCTGTCTGTATAACTCCTCCGCTTCCTGCATTCTGCCAGTCTGCTGGAAGAGGGCGGCCACATTCTGAGCTGTGTTAAGTGCCGGTATATACTTCTTCACCACTTGTTGGCCAAGTGCCTTCTCATAGCCTTGCAGCGCTTGTAAGAGCATCTTCTCTGCCTCGTCAAGCCGTCCTAGGGATTTGTAGACGACACCTAAATTGTTGACTGTCTCAAGTGTTGATATATGGTCTGGTCCCCATGCTTTCTCTTTGCCTTGTAGCGCTTGTAAGTACATCTTCTCCGCCTCTTCAAGACGTCCTAGTTCCGCGTAGAGCAAGCCCAAGTTGTTGACTGTCTCGAGTGTTGATGTATGGTCTAGTCCTAATGCCCTCTTAAAGCCTTGTAGCGCTCGTAAGTACATCTTCTCCGCCTCGTTAAACCGTCCCAGGTCCGCGTAGAGCAAGCCTAGGTTGTTGACTGTCTCAAGTGTTGATGTATGGTCCAGTCCCCATGCCTTCTCTTTGCCTTGCAGCGCTTGTAAGTACATCTTCTCCGCCTCGTCAAGCCGTCCTAGGTCCGCGTAGAGTAAGCCCAAATTGTTGACTGTCGAGAGTACTGATGTATGGTCTGGCCCCCATGCCTTTTCCAAGCCTTGTAGCGCTTGTAAGTACATATTCTCTGCCTCGTCAAGCCGTCCTAAGAATTTGTAGAGGGAGCCTAAGTTGTTGACTGTCTCAAGTGCTGATATATGGTCAAGTCCCCTTGCCTTCTCAAAGCCTTGTAGCGCTCGCAAGTACATCTTCTCTGCCTCGTTAAGCCGTCCTAGGGATTTGTAGAGGTTGCCTAGATTGTTGACTG